TTGAAGAATTTGTGGTCTTTGTAGAAGAGAGGGCCAGAATTGCCCGAACCCGTTATGGTAGATTAGTACAGTGTAACTCAAGGTTCGGTAAAAGGAATTCTGAAGGCCAAGCTGATAGGAGATCACGCTTTCATGCAATTAGACGAGACCCAAATAGCTTAGTCAAGGTATCACGTTGTGAAATGTGCGAAGGTGATCATGAGGCGACAGATTGTCCAAGGTTAGCAAAAATGAATGTAAGAGAAAGGAGGCAGGAGGTAAGAAAACGTGGTCTATGTTACTTATGTTTGAAGAAAGGTCACATAGCTATGACATGCAACTCAGGCATCAAGTGCGACGTTGAGAATTGCAAGGTTAGACATAATTCATTATTGCATATTGATAGTGTTGATAACCATGTGGTGAACCTAGCTAAGGACTGGAACTCTTCAAGGGTTTGTTTGGGGATCGTTCCAGTCAGACTATACGGTCCCAAAGGATGTTTAGAAACATATGCACTTCTAGATAGTGGTTCGGACACTTCTCTTGTATGTGAAGAATTAATTAATCAGTTGGGTATCAAAGGTAAAGAGACTTCGATAAGGGTGGCGACTGTGAACGGAACTACCAATTGTGATTGTTTGGAGGTAAATTTAGAGGTATTTTCATTAGATGAACAGGGTTCTATAAGGATCAACAAAGTTTACACGACCAAGAAACTCCCGATCGATCATGCAGCACCTTTAACCGAACTCCAACTGAAACGGTGGAAACATCTTAAGGACATAACCCTTCCGAGATTGCAAAGTAATTTTGTAGGAATATTGATTGGGTGTGATGCTCCGGATGCACATTGGGTCCTGGAACAACGTCTGGGGGACAGGAAGCATCCGTTTGCTGTGCGTACTCATCTTGGTTGGATGATTATAGGTCCTAAGGGAGTATCAAGGTCTCTACATCAAGTTCAGTTGTGTCATTGTTCCACCAATGATATTTTGCGAGATTTAGAAAGATTATATGATCATGAGTTCGAGGATACAGATACGTTTCGTAATGGATATTCTGTTGAAGATAAAAAAGCTCTAGAAATAGTTAGCAGTTCGTTTAGATTGGAGGGTGGTCATTTCCAAGTTGGTCTACCATGGAAGTATGATAAGCCAAGACTACCGAATAATTTGCAACTAGCTGGACGCAGACTGGAATGCTTAAGGAGGAGGTTTATGAAACCTAACAGTCTTTTGGAGAAATATCAAGTTGTGATGAATAAACATTTAAGAAAGGGTTACATCATTGAAGCTAGTGAAGAGGGATTTGACTATGATGCTGTTTGTTGGTATATTCCTCATCATCCTGTTATCAACCCTAAAAGGCCTGGAAAATTGAGAATTGTTTTTGATTGTGCGGCTGTCTATCAAGGTTGTTCTCTTAATGACCAGCCTTTGAGAGGACCGAATACTGTAAATAGTTTAATTGGTGTACTTCTACGATTCAGATTAGGTAACGTAGCATTAGCTGCTGATATCGAAGAGATGTTTCTTCAAGTAAAGATTCCGAGACAAGACAGGGGAGCATTTCGTCTATTGTGGTGGGAAGACGGTGATATACGACGAACGGCTAGGGCAAGAGCAGCCCCCTCGAAGGTCCAAACTATATCGCGCTTGGAACTTACGGCAGCAGTTTTGACAGCTCGCACGGGATCCCAGCTGCAGTCAGAATTAGATATTAAGTTTGCAGAGGTTAATTTTTGGACGGATTCTATGATTGTCTTACACTATATTAGAAATGAGAAAAGCCAGTTTAAAACATTCATAGCAAATCGAATTTCGACTATTCAGAGTCTTACTAAGGTGGACCAATCGAGATTCGTACCTTCTAAAGAAAATATATCAGACTTTGCATGCAGAGGGGTCAAGTTTGACATTGATGATGTCAAGGTATGGGAGGAGGGTCCACGTTTTCTCAAGAAGCCGAAGGAGTGTTGGCCTGCCGCTGATGTACAAGGTCCTGACCCCCGTTTCTTGGAAATAAAGAAGGCAATGTCGGCGCATGTAATGGCTGAGGAATCCACTGTTGATCAACTTATTAATTATTATTCAGATTGGACTAGATTACTTAAGGCTGCTGCGTGGTTAACCCGATTTAAGCGATATTTACTGGTAATGCGTTCTGGTAGAACTGATCTGTCTCAACAGGTGGGTATGCTTAGATTTGATGGGTTAAATTTCGCTTGTTTAGATTTAATTCTATATGTCCAACGCATAGTATTTCGGAAAGAGATTGAAATGTCTGATACCATTAGCAAGGTGAAGATAACGAATTCACCGTTACGAACTTTAAATCCAATGATGATTGGAAGATGGGCTTTATGTTCTGCGGACTCAAATAGTTGTTTGTGTGTGAATATGCAATGGTGCCTGAAGCCATGTGCTATGGTTATTCATTTTCTAAAAGAACTAGTAGGGTCCAATGTTACGATTTGGAATCAGAATAGAGAGTTCGCAGTAAATAAAGGAATTAATGGATTGGTCCTCTATACGTGTTTATATATCCATATTTACGTTAGTGTATATGAGCTTCTATGGAGGATGAAGCATTTTGTTAGATGGTTGATATTGCGATTGTTTATGTTGGCGCAAATATTTTGGAAACGTTTGTCTAAGGAATATGTTTCATTGTTGCAACTTAGACACAAATGGACTCAACCAGAGATGAACATAGGAGAGAGTAACTTGGTGGCCACATGTACTGGGTTTTTAGAGAAAGACAAATGGTTATTAGGTCTGGTAATGAAAGTGACACCTAATAGTGATGGGTTAAGACCGATGGAGTTGCGGACAAGCGTAGGGATCTTGGTAAGAGATATTAGAAAACTGCGTCTAGAGGTTGTAGATATTAGGTAGCTACTCGGATCCCTAGGCGTACTGGTGTAAGTCCTAGGGATCACGAGATTGTTGGTATATTGAGTGTCTGTTGTTGATTGCTTGTGATGCATATACTTGGATTCTTGTTGTTTATTTATTTGTCTGTGAAAAGAACCAAGGTTCTTTTGGTCGGGAGTGTTACGGGAGAACTGAAGACTTTTGACGGATTGAAACCTTTTATTGTACATTAATAATTTACTGTGCTTTTGGATGTAATTGTTTTACTTAACTTTTGAACTTGTTTGTTTATATCATTACTTCGGACATTTTGGTTTGTCTTTGGTTTGGTATTTTGGTGCTCTCTTTGTCTTTGGTTTGGTGTTTGGGAGTTTTGCTCCGGGAACCTACAAAATTGAAGGTTTGTTTTGTAATTGTTATAATTATTGTTGTTAGAACGACATTTGGTCGATTATTTGTGAATTACGAATAAACTTGGTATCTAAATTGGAACTTGGTTCTGTTGTTAATTTGGGTTCGTAATTTGCGAGTAGATCGATAGTCCGTACTTCAATAACTGGAACGAGCAAAACTTGGACGTAACACTTACTTTTTATCATTTTCCAAGTTCAACAATTTATTTTGATGCAGAACAGCAATGGCATCTAAGGTGCTTCCTTTGCATCTGTAAACAAAGTGATACGGATCAACATGCTCTTTTATCGCAAGCTCAAGTGGAAGTATTGATAATTTTTCCATTGTTTTGAGGAAAGGTGAAGTTATTGCAATAGGTCTTAATTTCACATTCTTATCACCAAGTACTTTATTGGGTACAGGGATTATCTTCATTTTTCTCCTCATTTTCGGTATGAGATTAGATGAGAAATATCTGTTAATGATAGTCGTGGACGGATAACATAGGACGTCAGCATACTTTTTAAAAAGGATGTTTGGGATATCATCAGGTCCCAAACATCGATATGAATCAAGCGATTGGAGACATCTTCGTACATCAGTCTCCGTAAAACTAGGAACACAGCTATTCTTTAAACCTATAGATAAAGGGAGCATCACATCAGATGACTGACGTACAAAAGACTTATTTAAGTCACAAACATTCAGCTGGTTATCGCTTCTAAACTGTCTGTCACCTGTAAGTTCTTTAAAGAGTTTCCACATACTTGGAGAGTTTTTACAAGACAAGAGTTTTCGAGTAAACATAGAGTTGAGACGTTTAATATTTAGGTTTATCAGACTATTTAGCTTGCGAACTTCACTAGCGTTTTTCTCCTTGTACATTATTTCTTTCACTCTCCGTAGTCGTTTTAGTTGTGAAGATTTAAGTCGGACGAAGGACGAAAACAGTGCCAGAATACTAATAGACTTAGATAGCATCCTACCCACATCTGCTCATATCCTTTACTTTTGGAGTATGAGTGTCCTATTAAACGAACTGCCATTTCTGTGGTCAATACTTGTTTCACACTACAAACGTTTGTGGTTTAAATCTACTTTTAAAAGGGTATCATGAAGCTATTTCAGGGTATTCGGAAACGAAAATCATTCTAAGAATGCTTTACGGTTTGATGGATCCAGAAATCCAAGTGACTGGGTTGTAGCCGGTTTCAGCAGCATCATAATCTCGGAAAATTTCATATATCTAACCGTAAAATAAGACAAAATCTGTTGGTTGAAACAGTCCCGAAGAATGGGCGGAAAAATTCCACTACATTTGATTAAATAAAAAAAAACATTTATTCAACCTATGGACATTAGCTAATAGCAATCAGACTGCCAACATCAGCTGGTAATAAAGTAGATATACTTTAAGAGATAAATGAGTTGAAGAATGTCGTTTCACTTTTATGACAAACAGTTATGACGAAGTTTGGAAGATCCGCTCAAAAGGGATTCATAAGACAATGTATGCTAGTAAAAACCTTAGTTAATATATTATTAACTAACCCTATGCATTTAAAGTGCCTGAGCAATACCGTCAAGAAATCAAGTCTCTTCATATCAGTGAATAACCTAAAAATAGCATGGAACTGTTTAACTTGTACTCTATATTTCTCAGTTTGCTGGATACGCGGTGAATTTGACGTTGTTTAGTTGTTTCGCGTACATCGTTTTGTGACCCTGAGCGGGTTTTGCATGACGCGATTTTTTAAATAGCTCTATTTGCTTATGATGTCAAATGAGGTAAATTCACTCTGTTTTTTTACAGATCACTTACTTCAAATTGTAACCTGTTGAAAAACGAAGCAATGCACTGCTTCCTAATTTTCGTACCTTCATGGTGTTTTTAGTAATTGCAGAATTACATTAACCTTTTTCCAAACATATACGGCATATTTAGTATATAAATTTGTAATTGTACTGATGCAGAATCCATCATTTAGCTTAGAATATAATGTTTGATGCTCAAATACGAGTACACATTTTTAATGCTTTATGGTTTCACGTAAATCGATATCAATGTTTTTGTGATTATCGTTCTCTGAGTCGTGAAAGTTTATTGAGCCAATAGTAAATTCCTGACTTCTAGTTACATTATTATTTCGCTAAACCTAAATTGATCACATTTATACTGGTCACCAATCCTAAAACTTCATTTAACCAGTAGATTTATTTACCTAAATACTCCATGCTATTCATCCCAACATTAAAAACTTTCTTATTCTTTAATAAGCACGATTTTAAATTTAGATGTCATAATTTTAAACGATCTACTTTGATTCAAACCTGACTTGTTATAAGACTAATTATGTGGATGTACATTTACAGAACTTAAAGGGAATTTACAAAATAGTATATTTTTCTTACATATATTTGTTTTATATGATAGAAAATTTTCAGTGGTTAGCATATTGAATTGTTTCTGGGGTCTTTTTGTTAAGGAAAGCAATTTTGGTTTTTAGTGACCTAACCGAAAAAATAATTTAGATGGGTTCTCACACCTATATTTTTATGCATATATATTTGTTAACCGGTTTTAAGTCTAATTATAGGTATAACAGTTTTGGCTTTTATTTTTCTGAGGCTGGCCAATTTATTGCTCAACATATAGATAGAAAATTACTGAAAATTATAGACCTGTATGGAAATGCGTGTTCATTTATGATTATTCACGATTTCTTTATTTAAGATGTTCCCTTTAATTAGGAATTAACGTCAAGATATTATGCTATAAAATTACTTTCCAGTGCGCTTGTATTGATATGTAGTATAATCTTGCAAACGAAATTATTTCTTTGTTACACTTTAACCATTTACCACCCAAGCAGTCATAAATCAAAAGCAGAGAAAGTCAGTTTGATTCTTGATACTACCTAAAATGTATTACTCGTTATACTACTTCCGTGATGTAACATATTGTTCACAAATATCACTTTCAAATGGTTTGTTTTATATTGAGGTTGATTGAAAGATTTATGCTTGTGTGTAACTGGATAAGTGACTGTATGAAATTCATAGACTTTATTTATAATTATATACTTCTATAGAAAGATTAGTCACGGCAACTTCCCTAATAGTTATTAATTTGATCGTTTGTAAATGTTTAAGCCCAAGGAAGCAATGCTACATCTATCCTATTAAGAGCTTGTGTAGCATTCAAAATAAACATGGACTCCGAAATGTTGCAGTGTCTTGTCTGTATCCGAATATATGGTCCAACTTATTTAAACAATTTGTGAGGACGAGGTTCTTGTTGGTTTTTTTGTAAATATTTTCAGGAATAATTTTAGAATTTTAACTAATTCTGCTCTAAAAAGCGGTTTGATGTGGTTTTAGGATGTCAATTGCAACTAAAACTTACGACTGTATGTATTTGCTTTAGTGGAAAATTATAAATTAGTCTACTACTGGTAGATCTGTTTGAATGATATCTAATATATCTTTTAAATTAAACCTATCTGTCTTAATTATTGGGATAAATACAGGATATATCTTGACGGTAATCGACTGGTGGAGGGACTATATAACATGGAGAAAATCTGATGTAATGTTCTGTTTTCTCAGTCTCCACCAAGACTCTATCACTTATATCACTGAAAACAAAAGCTTTATCGTTTCCCTATATAGATCCAATAATGCAACAAACTAAAGATTCCAATCAACATTATGGCTGTTTAGATTAAATTATGACACATACTTTAAAGCACAGATTATGTGCTCAGATTTTACGTGAGTCAATTGACACTTTAAAACATTGTCAATTTTTAGTGACATGTTATAGTTCGTATGACTTAATTTTATTGAAACTCCGTTATAACCTAAATGACATTAGTTTGTACGATTCTACAAGTTTCTTATTTATTATGTATCATCGTTTTGCGGTCGAATGCCGGTCGTTTATTACTATATTGCAAAATTTTACTTTCATGTGTGTGTAACTTGTTACTTATAACGTTTTTTCTTATAATCTTAATGTGCTTTAATGAGATATGGATGAAATTCTCTGTATTATAAAGAAATGTATAAATGTTTATTTAATATTGCATGACATTTTTAGCACTTATAAACATATATACTCATTTTTGTAAGTTACTGCAGTGCCAAATTATTCGTATATTGTATTTTCGGTTTAATTCATTAGTCATGCTGATAGTGTGCATAAAATGTAATCATGTCATGAAGTATTTTGTTTCGCTGTTTTGATGGGGTTTACTGTCGTACTAAAATGATGGAAAAGATGATAAGTATTATTTTCTACAAGTTAAGTATTTAGCTTGTTATTGCTTTGAAAGTCTGTAAGTAATATGAAAGTTCCTAAAACTTGAGTTGTACATTTATATTACTTCTCATAAACCGCGAAATATCCAGTGTTACTAAGGCTCCACATTTCCGTTTGAAATTTGTGTATAAGTGGTCAAACGTTAAAATTGATCACATCTTGATAGTACTTAATAAGAGCTATCAGTAAAATTACCGAAAGTGCTTGTTATATAGTTCAAACTAAGACCCGGAGATTAATGTATATCTTAAAACACCAAGGTATGTCTTGTGTCTTATAAACTTAAATCACAGTTTCTCGGACAAAATTCTTAGCGTTTTTCCATCTGTCCAAACAAAACTGAGTATAAAAATAAATTTTTGTTACAAAAAGTTTAATACAGTGACTGTCAGTTTTAATATTGACTAGAAAATCAGTGACTACTTTGTTGGAAATCAGTCTAGTTTCATATAGTTCACTGAACTTGTTCACATATAATAAAAGTTTATCGTGTAAAAATATATGGGGCGTACTTTCATATAAAGTTCTGTATTTTGCAAGTGTCTTATGATACATTTAAATGTGTTTTTATTTTTATACGAAATCCATTTTTGTGTATTTAAAAACCTCAAAGCTTTATACCTGCCAAAGATCATGTTGTGGTACTAAAAACTAGAGACCAAAATTTTATAACATGGGTTGGTTTATGTTATAGTATCACAATCATTTAATAACACTATTCAATAACTATGGAGCTGAAACTTGGAGAACTACTACAACCATCATCAAGAAGGTACAAGTATTTATAAACAATTGTCTATGTAAGATACTCATTATCGGTTGGCCACACACACAATCAGCAACAGCATTCTGTGGGAGAGAACAAACCAGCTTCCAGCTAAAGAAGAAAATTAAGAAAAGATTATGGAAATGGATACGACATACATCACGCAAATCATCGAGCTGCATCGCTAGGCAAGCTCTAACTTGAAATCCTGAAAGGAATCGGAAAAGTGGAAGGCCAAAGAACAAATTGCATTGAAAAATAGGATCAGATATGAAAAGAATGAATACCAACTGGAAAGAACTGGAAAGGATTGCCCAGGACAGGGTTGAATGGATAATGCTGGTGAGCGGCCTATGCTCCTCCATGAGGAGTAACAGGTATAAATAAAGTAAAAGTATTCAATAACTATGTTATCAGTTTAAGCAAATTCATACATCATATTTTCTTACTAGACTAACGAAGATCACTATGAACCAGCAAATCGGAAACATATATTTAGTTATATTTCAAGATTTTTAGAATAATCATTGATTTATAAAAGTTCCAAGAAATATTTTAAATGATGGTTACTCATCTTATCAGTAGGCCATAGCAAAATCTGTATAATATCAGCTGTCATTGACGATATGCTTTAACTATTTCTCTTAATTGAAATATACGTTTGTGTATATGAATGGATTGTTATGTTTGCTTATTAAAAGTTTTGATAATCTTTCAAAGATTATCTCATTAAATTTGTTGATATATACATATATACATAACTAAGCAACAAAACTTTGCTCTAATAATGTTCTATACTTTATAATATGAATAATTAGGGTCATGTGTGTATATATATCAATCTCATTAGTCCCTAAAAGAAAGTGGATACACCAAACTTTTGGCTTTTTAGTACACATTTCTGGATTACATTTGAACTTAGTTATTGTCTTCATTTGAAAAGCTCTACATTAAATAGTTTTATGGTTGATTTATTTCAAAGCAGTCATGTCACAATTTCCTTTTTCGTGTTAATCTAGAGTGAAATCAACCTGATAGTTCGAAGACTAATGAATTTTAATGCTTCAACAGTGTTTTAGAAAATACCATCAAACTTAGATTGCATGACCGAAACAATTAGTTTTCCTAATCAAAAAATTTAGTAAACACCATATTTTAGATCATATAAAACATTTAGTAGACTTTATAAACCAAAAAATGTTCTAGAATATTAAAGATTCCCATTGTGAAAATTAGAACAACACATATAAGCGAACAGTATTGTTTTCAATTAAATCATCATCAGGCTTTACTTTAATATACATGAATATTTATACGAAAATGTTAAACCATTCAAGACAATATGAGTCAATAATAACAATGAAATAGAATAAGTCACTACACATAATAAGTAAAATTACAAGTTGATAGTAGGAAGAAAAGTGTACTGATAGTAGTAAGAATAATAAAATACAATAACAAAAGTCTTATCAATAGTTAAACGTTGGAAATAGAAAGTCAAACAAACGTGGGTAAATAGAATAGGAATAGTCAACACCAAAACATTAACATCATTACGTAATAAGATGTGTGCAAGTAATCAGATAGTAAAGAATACAAGGTGAATGATAACAAAATAGAATTAAATAAATAATGATAATAATAAAAAATCTAAAAATAATTAAAACAAAGATACATCGTTAGTTAAGTTACAACTGG